AGAGTAGCTAAAATAATAATATATAAAAGCAAAAAATAATGGGTACTTGCTTGGTTCATATGAGCATTTACAAAATTTAGTAAAAAACTCTGGGAGGGGCACAGATCCTAAAGAAAAACCTAAAAGAAAAAGTTTTCCAGTCAATTCATTCTTGGCTGTAATTCTGTGATTTCAAATTGGTCCTGTTGGTCCCAGTCTTTTTATATTCTATGCATCTAGTTCTCTAGTTTTAGTTGCTCTGTTGAGTAATTCTAGATTTTTAGCAAGAAAAAAAAGAGAAAGAAATAAGAGGAAAAAGGAAGGAGGGAGAAAGGGAAGGAGATAAGAAAGTGGAAGGAAGTGTCTCTTTATTTCATGTTGCTTGCCATTACAGTTTAAGAAATATGAAATTAACAAAATGAATATAAATATTGCTGGTCCAAGCATCTGCAGCCCATTACAAACCCCTGCACAGCAATATATATTCTTTTTCTATTTGAGCTCTCATTCCAGCTTTTGTTCTTTCTCTCTCATTCAATCTGTTTCTCATACTCTTCCATAATTACAGTAGAAAAAAATTATCATCCAGAAAATGATGTAGCAATATGTGTGCAAAGTTGATCTTGGAAAACCAGTAAGACATAAAGTAAAAAATTAAATCCCAAACAGGTCTTTTTATTTAACATAAGGCCAAAGAAGCTATCAGGCGTTGCTGAATACTGTCCACTAACTATACAATATATTGACTGCATGCCTCGCAAACACCAAAATATCCACTGGAATGCCATAGAAATAAATAACTTCTCCTATAAACACATGAAAACATATCAAACTGTTATCTCTTTAAACATATTGTAAATAAAAAATTACCAGTACTTCTACACAATAAATATTAAGAAACCATTGACATAGTTGAAATGCACTCATATAAATTAACAACTTTAATTACATTAGCCAAACAGACATTGGTTAAAGAACTGCATGTAGTATGCAAAAAATAAACAAAATAAAAACAAACAAACAAACAAACAACATCAACCACATAACATAAAAACTTTTAAAACAAAACAGGCTTCAGATTATCTTGGCTTTCATAATTATATTTTTCTTTTTAAGAAAAATATCAACCCTTTGTCAATGCACTATTTTTCAAAACACTTAAATAGAGGGTAAAACTCATTGGAAATTAATATAGAAGATATGATTCACTCTAGCCATAAAAAAATAAATAATATAGTTGAGACATGTGGTTTGCTTCTGTTCTTGAAGATGTGAACAGCTTCTAAGCATTCATTTTCTCTGACCCATACAACAGCTTCTCAGTGACAAAGGGTTCAATTTAAACACATACAATGTCCACCCCAAACCTTCTGCCCACATCTACAAGTTTATTTATTGTGTAGGTTTTCAGGGTGACTAAGTTTTTCTTTACATTGAAAAGGGAAGTTGCCAAAAGGCCCACAGGAAATAGTTTTTTTTTCAAGCAAACATGACCATTTGAATATAAACTCAATATAACTGAGGCATTTGCATTCTCCTTTCTTGGAGTCACCTCATGGTCCAATCCCATCGAAGTAGAAAAAAACTCCTTTGCTCTATGTAAGTGGACAATTCAGGCACTCTCTTTGAAAACAGAGTGTGGAATCAATCTTAAATAAGTAAGAAATTGACTGGTCTTCAGGGATAAAAAAAAATCCAAATCAGTGTGCCAAAACTTGTCTTACTTTTTAATAGAAGAACAAGTTTCAATATTTTACAAAATTGTTACCATTCTTAAAAGATATTTGATGACAAATGCTTTTCAGAGCTTTTAAAATGGGTGTAGGTAGATTTTTAAGAGCCTAGATATTAGCTCTAAAAAATACAGAGATGCCAAAATCAGATCAAGAAACCACACTATGAAGAACCCAATATGGTAGAATTTAAAAGCTTTTTCTTTTGACCTCTTGCTGCTATGTGAAAGGTATGGTTGTTCACAAGGCTGCATATCTTTCAGGATTATTATAGATAGTAGCAATTTATAATTATATTTCATAGTTATATAAATGTAATGAAACCTAATGAAATTAAATCATCCCATTAAAATATTCTCATGTGGAATTTAATTTTGTTCTGCTTATAATTAATGTGGCCACTAATAAACTCCATCTTATGCCCATATTTTGAGGATTTAAAGGGCTTAAAATATGACATATGTATTTAATACTCCATACATGTCAATTGTCTTTACAACCTCTTGCTTTTTCATGGCTTTGGCCATCGCTGCTATTGCATACTGAACAAGCACTTGGTTCCCCACTCTATTTTTGGTCCAGTTCCAAATAAGAGGCAGTTAAAAAAGCCCTCAATGTTTGTCATGAAAATTTGTAAATTATGAACATTGACATCTACTTCTCTCCTTAAAACCTTCCTCATGATGTTCACCTTCCTCACCTGCCTGATTTCCTGATAAGTGGTTGAGTGAGGAAGTAAGTACCAATATTGTATGCTCTCCTCATATTTAATTAGAATCCACTCTCATGAAGTACCTATTGTCTTTCCTGCATAAGAAATGGTAGACAACTAGATGATAGTAAGTATATCTCACAGGTAATGACAAAAAGTGATTTGTCTACATATAGCCTTATGTTACTGTGCACTGATTTAGTACAAGAAGAGCTAAACCACCTTTTGTAATATTTGATTTCTCAATAATATTTTATTTTCCTACTTTTAATTATTTAGTTGACATAGGGCTGTCTGTTTCAATACTTTACAAAACATTAATGAATGTAATTTTCCCCAATTATTACCATTTTTAAATTTTTTCAAACTTCAAAGAAGTTGATAAAAATAAGGCTCTGTATAAAAAGCACATAAATGATTAACGTATAGCCATTCTAGGCAAGCTAAATACTGTGGATTAAACTAGTAAAAGTTTAGCTTTAAGCATGTATTTTGATATTTATAAAACAAAGTAGGTTTTTCCCTCATTTTGCATCTGAATCAATACACACAAAATCATACATTAAGAATTTGGGCTATAAATTAAAATACTAGGGATTTTTACTCCTATCCCCGTCCCTGCCTCCTTTTAACTATTCTCTTTCTTCTCCTCTCTTAGCACCCTCTCTCAAATTATTTATCTTTTACCTAGTGACAGCAACATTAGTTAGCCCAGTAGTGCAGGTAATATTTCTCATAAGCACGCCATAATCGTTAAAAAAAATTGCACTTAAGTCTTTTATTCTGGACTAAAGATTAATTTTTTTCTGAAAAAGCATCTGATTTAAGATTGATTCCAATAGATTACAAATATAAACTGCAAAATCAACCTAGAACTCTGATGAACATGAATTTCCTGTTTTCCATACAGGGGATAACTTGTAGGATGGGAGTGGGGGACAAGGAAAAAGAGGAAATTTAACTCTGTACATTGAAAGAGGGCCTTGATGAATATTCACTGGAATTTCCAGGCTTTTTCCCATTGAAATTTTTGAAATGTGCCCACCTAGTTCAGAGTAAAATCAAAAACTATAGCCTATCCTTCTTAAAAATACTGTGTTTTACACACATTCATTTCTTTAAGAACATTAAAAAATGACATACTGAAGTGCTTAAAATGTGTCTGGACATGATGTGATACATGTATATATACATATAGATATGCATATGCACAAGCAATGTATATATACACATACAAGCATGTATCATTTATGGATCTGATTAAACTTGATATCCAACAATGTACAACTACTGTACATCCAGTATGAAATGTCCTGTTTCATGGATATAAAAGGAGTCAAAAACCCAACTTCTCAGGTCTTTTAAGCCTGAACACAATCCATCCTCCTCAGCCTTGAATCCCAACCCCTGACTCATTGATGGTGAATGATACCAACCACAGACAGTTTAAAGGCTCACACAAATGTCTTTGGTGTATGTGTCTATTTTTAAGGTACAAAATAATAATAATAATAATTATAATAATAAAAATAGCTATTTTGTGTGCTGTAGCTCACATTAAGTGCAGCTCTTAACCCCCCATCCCACCCAAAGAAAATACTTGTTAAATAAGGATTGGACAGGTCAAACACCATCATAGTGCAAATAGTAAACGATAAAAAAAACAACATTTACAAAATATAGAAATGTTTGGATCCAACAGATGGACAAACATATTCCTTTCAAGTATCTTTCCTTGAAGAAAATAAAAATTAAACAGGTTACTTCCAATACAAAAAAGTCTCTCTTTTTGTTCTCCCTCAGGTAAACAGTTTCAAACCTATTAGGTTGCATAGTTCTAAGATCATAAGCACCTTAAAGAAATATAACTTTGTATTTTTTTTCTTGATCTTTTTACTCTTCTATTCTTCTCAGGTGTTTTATGTTGGCTTTTGTTTTGTTGTGAGACTGGTTCAGAAAAAGGAAGTGTGACTACCTGAACACTATTGTTCATTTGCCAGTGTGTATGTACATGGGTATATAGAAATGCCTCTGTGTGTGTCCATGCATGTATGTGTGTGCATTTTCTGGGGGGAGGGGTTATCTGAGTGTATGGGATCTGTGGCATGTGAGTATGTGTGAGGAGTGTAGTATGTGTGCACACACACTGATATATACAGAGGGAGGGTCAGGCAGACATACCTTATGACCTGGGTAGCTGTGTGGGAAAGTGCCTGTAACTGCTCCTTCCAAACTCATGGCTTTCTAGATGCTATTTGGATTTTGCTAGTCCACATTATTTTAGACTAGACAAGTTGACTTTGAGGCTCAACCTGGAAGGGAACTGAAAAGGAGAGGGCAATACTCCTGTTTAAGCAACTGATATCATTACTTTGATACTGGAAGAAATGAAGGATACTCCATTTTCCCTTTCCTTCCCAATTCCCATCTCCTTCTCTGCTTCATCTCTGAGACCTGGACAGGGAATTTTTCCACATCTTCCTTTATCTGTTTCAGGTTTTGTTTTTAATTTATTATTTTTTTAATATCTATTGTTTTCTGGTCGTTTAACTCAGAAACACTAAACATTCCTTCATTTTGCCACTGTCCTCTCTACGAGCACCCACACTCCTCCACTATCATGTTCTGAATGTCCTTCTTGATGATGTTTTGCCCATCATCATAGTACAACATGGACATGGGTCTCAGCTTGGTGGGCACACAGCATGACTTGAGGTTGGAGAAGGGGCTGTAACCCCGCATGCGGTAGTGGTTAATGACCGTTGAGTGAAAGGAGAGTGATGACCCCGATGTGCCTGCTATATGGCTTGGGCACTCGCCTTCACAGTAGTTGGCATGATAGCCAGAGGGAGCGATGATCCAGTCATTCCAGCCAATGTCCTTAAAACTAACAAAGAACTGTTTCTTACAGCAGATGTTGACCTTGCCATCACACTCCAAGCCCCGCCGCCTCCGCCGATGAGGATGGTCTTCAGATTGCCGGGCCTGTAGCATGAGGAAAGGTCTATGGGATTGCTCCTTCTCCTCATCTCCTCCCACCCCTCCTTCTCCTCCGGCCTTTTTCTTTCCTTCCCCCTCCTCTTCTTTCTTCTTCCTCTTGCCCAGGAGCACAAGGCTGGCACCAGTCTCATGGCACTGCTCACAGGCAATCCTAATGTCCAGGGAGCTCTTGCCCTGGTCCAGCAACCGCTGGATACTGCTGGATACAGGAAAGATGTGCCAGGTGCTCTTTCGAGCATCTACTGCCTTTTCTGATATCAACAGTTCACTCCTCTCCTCCATTAAGCCCACTGCCTCGGCCTCATCCCCTATGTCCAAGCTGCCCTGTGGATGCTTCTGCTGCTGAAAGAGATGGATGGTGACTTTGGTCCTGTTCCTGTTGGCCTTGGGGACTTTTAGGAAGAGCCAGATTTCTGCACGCTCCACCACTGAAAGGTCACTGCCTTCTTTGGAAATCTCAAAGTGCAGCGTCTTCCTGGCTGTACCTGAGAATGAAACACAGTACAGGAGAGAACAGGGATACTTGTTAGTTCCTGTGTTTGTGGCTACTCACTAATTTCAGGCCACCGTGGGGTCTTTGTTATAGGCCATCTCAAACATCAAACACATATCAACAAATTATGGTCCACAGGCCATAAGAATGGTTTTGACATTTGTAAATGAAGAAAAATAGTATTTTTGTGACACATGAAAATTACATGAAATTTAAACTTCAGTCCCTGTAAATAAGGTTTACTGGACCACAGCTATGCTTATTTCTTTATAGGTTTGTCTATAGCCACTTTTGCACTTTAATATGGAGTTCAATAGCTACAATAGAGACAATTTGGACCATAAAGTTGAAATATTTATTTTCTGGTCTTTTATAGGAAAAGTTAGTCAACTTTTGCTGTAGAAAGAAGATGGCCTACATCTGAGTTTGTCTAAGGCCTTATGGGGCCTGCATCCATTGACTAATTGCTTAATCTCGGTTTCATCTTCTATAAAGTGGGAATGACATAATGACATTTGACCCATTATCCAATAGATTTAGAAGGATCAAATGGAATAACATAAATAAAACACACTGTAAGACTGTAAGCTCTAGCAAGCAGTGGCTATATTATTCCCACACAGATATGCAAACAGACTCCATCCCCACCCCCGTGGTCCCCTAAATCTGTGTGTGTGTTATGTAGCCTCACCCTTCCTAGTCACAAAACCTGCTTTCACTCCCCCATCTCTTCTTTTCTGGGTCACGGCATCAGCTTCCTCTTCAATTGACCTCTCCAGCAGGGAACCAAGCCCTTCTATAATCATTTCAGTGGGAAAAGGAATCTTTCAGGGTGGATCTGATCATGTCACTCATTCTTTACAGTCCCTTTCTGAGTTCCTATTGCCCTCAGTTTAAAACAGAAACTGCTCAGGATGCTGGGCTCTGCCTGACCTGCTTCTGCCTTCATCCTCAATTCTCTCCCTGTGTCCCATCCTCTGTAATCCAGACACACAATGTTTATTCAAAGCTGTGAACACCCCATGCACTCTCTCACCTCCAGGCAGTGAAACCTGCTGTTCTTTCTGCCTAGAATACTCCTGATCTCAACACACACACTACAGTGGCTGCTTTTAATAAGTTTCAGATTGCAGATGGGACAACACCACTTATTCTAGAGGCTTTCCCTGACCCCTCTGTCCCTACTCTTCTGCCAGTCTAGTTAGAATGCCCAGGTCTGAGGTCCTATCTCTCTTGTGAAGTGTCATAGCCTAGTATTTAGCAGAAAGTAGGCAATTACTTGATTTCTTTTAATAAATGGTGGTATCCTTAGCATTCAGTTATGTTAAATGAAGAGATCTACCTCCTACCTCTGAATCCCCCATTTTTGTCTTCTTCCTTTAATACAGTTTAATACACCTGCTGCTAATAGAGGCAAAATCCATACATCAGTGGAGTGATTGGATTCTGCAACCACTCAGTTCTTGCCTAACTCTAAAATTAGAAAAGCATCTATTTTCTTCTCTTTCCACTAGCACCTGCATGTTTATTCATGGATAAGTACTGTAAGGTGCAGGTGTTCAGATGAGAACTCTTTGATTGATAAAATATTTTCCTTACTTCCATTTTACCACTTGCTCTCTTTTCATGACCTACCTCTGCATGTACCTGCCTGTAATGGTCTCAGATACATGCATCCCATGTACAAATCTGAGAACAGTCTTAAAGAAGATAATCTTAGAACTTACAATTCCCTAAGAGGGTCTCCCTCCCTGGGTTTCCATAGCTAACGGAAATCTAGGCATAATTATCATTCCCCACCCTAAGATATTTACAGTACTATAAATTCTAGGCACAGTTTCAAGTCCTCTGCAGTAGAAGGCAGGCTTTTCTGTGCATTGTGCACTGCAGACTCTGTTCTTAATTTAACACACTCTGCACATGGTGATTATGATAGTGGTAAATTCACTGAGGTCAGGGCCAAAGATGGCTGCATGTCTATATATGAAATGTTCTCTGGCATCTTTGTATAAACTTGCTAGGGTGCTGGCCTCGATAGTGGTAGTGAGGGGTTTTCCTTTTGACCTCACATCTCTGGCAGAAGTTGAAATGAATAATAAAGCTGGGTTTATGAGTAGATCACAAGATTGAGGAGCAGTTAGAGATGGAATCTCTTTTTTTTAGGAAGCATGATCACTTTAAAAACAAAAAAGTGAATCCGGTATTTCCCTTTGCTAAAAATTGGTGGGGTTTGTTGTTGTTGTTGTTTGTTGTTGTTGTTGTTGTTGTTTTAAAAAAGCAAAGAGAAGATTCCAGGAAGGAGAACTTCATTATTTAAACCTAAGAAGACAATAAATAGCTGATTTTAATGTGATAGGTAGGGACCTCTCAAGACCAGAGGTTGCAAAGGCTGCAGAAGCCTCCCAAGCCTCTGAAGACCAGCCTTGTGCAGTCCCTGTGCAGGCTACCCCACTGCAGGTACAAGCACCCTGCCGTGGAGAATGTCAGCAAGCTCTCCCTTCTGCCTCTAAGCAGACCAGCTTCTGAAACCCTAAACTGTGTAGGGTGCCTCTCTAAAAATAGAAAGAAAGTAGTTGCTAAATTAGAGAAGCCAGAATGTACAAGGTTGTGTTTTGTTTTTCTAGGAACAAGTGTGAAACTGGAGTATCTGTCTTGTCCCTAGGATGGGTGAGCTTGGTTTCAGGTAACTCATTCCCACAGGGTCTGCTCTGCTCTGACCCACGCTTGACAGGCATGGCTGAGGCTGAAGGTAGATGGTCTTCAGATAAAGAGAGGGGACAGATGGCAATGTGGACCTCTACACATTGGATTTTCCATTAATAAAATCCAAAGATGTTTGTAGACGCTGGAGGGAGAGGAGGCAAAGGAGAGCTCATTGGAGATGAATCAGTGACAGCACATACAAATTGATTAGTAGGGCCAACCAGGCTGCTTACTTCCAGTAATGGCCTATACGATAGGCCCCCATTTCACTTGAGCAGGTTTCTAATGCATGAGATAACCCCACCCCTTCTTCACAGGCAGCTGTACTTAGAATCAAATGATTTAGTGTTTCTGACAGAGGATTGTACAAAGAGAGTACTCATTAGAGGGGACTCAGTCTGTCAGGTGCTGTTATATTAGAATCAGAGAGGCATCATAAAATGACCTTTATCCTGGTCCTGGCAGGTAATTAACTGTATGGCATCACCTGGTATTATGGAGCGATCGAGCACAGACTTATACATCAGTTTCATTATCTGAGCCAAAAAACTGTTCCCTGCCTTCTCATCCATTGTCTACATGCTGTATCTCTCCCCCATATTTCTGACATTTGGATTTTCCCCTTACGAATTGACATGCCTGCCGCCTTCTTCTCCTGGTGTCCATTTTTGGAACTGCTATTTGTATATTGCATGATATTTTATCGGGAGTTAAATAAAACTGAGATCCCATTTCATGAAAATGCTGTTGCCATAATGCTCAGGAGAACAGGGGGAAGAAAGAGAATCAAGTCTTCTTAATGTCTACCTTATATGCAGGTACATTTTAATAGTTCTATTGTATTCTGACTTATTAAACAGTGCATATTTTTTCTTTTACATTTAGCTTTCATTGCGGAAGGAGGTGGGGAAAATTAGGCTAGAAGCTGAGATGGAATTAACATTTATCAGTGCTGTAAGTTTCAGAAAGATATTACAACCCTCATTTTAGGTATAAAAAATACAACTAGCCTCTTGATTATATCCCCTTTATTTGTATATTACCTAAGAGATATTGCTATAATGCAGTGATGCTTTAAGAATGGTTCATTCTTCAAATATCTATGCTTAACATTTTGAAAAATGGAAGAGATTGCCTAAGGCTGAGATGTTTAGGATTAATTACTAATCAGTTTCAGGTTTGACTTAAATATATCCCCTGCTGTAAAATCCTGAAATGGAAGCCTTCCCATGATGCTTTGTGAGCAGATACAGCATTATAGTTGGTACAGGTGCATATTGGGTTCCTACACAATTACCTATTTAATGAGATATAGCTGGTGGCTTTGCTAACCTTTCATTACCTACTCTGATAATATTCTTTTCACCCTCTGTGCTATTTTTTCTTTCCTGAGGCTTGTGAGCAAGCCTTGTATCACAGCCTGCTCTGCCTGAGTAATTCACTAAGAAAGTCCCACGCAAACCCATGTGGGTGATAATATTGCATCACTTAAACCTCAGTGGACATATTCCAAAGGGAGAGAAAAAAGTGCATAAAAATGGGTAGGAGGGATAAATTTTGCATTTTACAGGGAACGCCTCTAAGATGTTGCCAGTTGGGGGAACTGGAAAGACAAAAGACTATGTAGGCTTAAAGTAAAACTACCTGAAAACAGATTGCTTTTTGCTTTCAGAATTTTTCAAATGTTTGTAATAACTCAATGCCAGAGGTTAAGCCGCCAAGGCCCTCATTGTTCCCTTCCCCTACACCAGGATGCAGCTCATCGCCCAAGTCTACCAATTCAGGTTTGTAGGCAGATGAACATATAAATATTTCAAATGAAATAAGCAGTACACACAGTGTTTCATTTTTGTTTCGTTTTTCTCACCAGGGTCCTGCATAAAGCACGATGCCCTTCTACATATGGGTAATATCTCTAATGTTAATGTGGAAAGCCATGTTATTTATACAGGATTTAAACTCACCATGGGAGGGAAAGCCTCAGTATAAAATACAGCTGTTACTGTAATTTTCCATTATTCACCACAGTTTCACTGTGCCTAGATATGGTATAGCCACTGGTGGGAGCATACAGAGCTACCAGTTATAGCATGTGCGTTTACTGAAGCACTAACTTTGCATTTAGACTGCTTCCATGGCTTTCTACATAGGGCAACAAGTGAAGATGTAAAGGTTATGCCTCCTTTCACCTACACTAAAGGGTCTGGCCTGCAGTGGAACTGCAGGTTTTGTTATAAATTATCCTAATTGATTTTTTAGCTGCAATAACTTTTCTTAGGATCTGCTACTGAATTGTAAATGATCAGCCACATTCCTGCACTTCAATTTTAAAGATGATGAAAAAAATGGTTAAATATTTAGAGAGAAAGGGGTTTTAGATTCCTAAAAGGAGAAAAAATTCTTCAGTTTCAACACACAGGCTTTCAGAGACATTTCCAAAGTTCCTGAGAACTTTTACACTTTTGGTTTGAGATCTAGAAACCAGCGGAGTATAAAGAATTCTGAAATACAGCTCAGGGAGCATGCTCAAGTATATTTTAGCAAAAATGGCCAAGACAAATATGTATTTTCCTGAACAGTGCCTGGGAAGGTGTTACTCCCATTTCTCCAAATGTTAAAACTGAGCTTCTAACCTGACACCTCCCACCCTCACTCTAATACACCTACTTCACAGGCCCAAACCTCTATTCATCTCTTTCACATCTTTTCTCCTCTCTCCACTCTTAGTTTGGAAACAAACACATCCTCGGAAGCTATACACCATGTTCCCACAAGGTGTTAAATAAATAGCCTTTTGTCATTTGTTGCTTGTGAAAAGCATTGATAAGACAGGCAAGCTAGGCAAGAAAATCAGGGGAAAGGGAAGATGGTTTTCTAAAAGCCCAGTCAGCCGTATTAAGGGGCAATGTGTAAGCAAATCAGTATTGCTGATGGATGATTCACTGTCACATTTCTCCACACACTGTTTTGTTTGCTTCTGAAATTTATCATTCTTCTGTTTTCCATAGAGCTTTGGAAAGTTCACATGTACCACTTGAATTCCCATTTCCTTTCCTTCTGTTTCATTTAATGTGTTACCGGTAATCATGTTCCTCCCATTCCATAAAATTTTACATTTTCTGGGGTGAGAAGTGGAGGCAGCAACTGTTAATCACTGAGGGTGCTACAGAACTGGGGCTTCCAGTAGGTGAAATTGTTTCCCTAGAAGATTAAAAAAGTCTTTGGAATGCGCCCTCGTGTGGCTGATCATTTCCCATTATTCACAGAAGTGTGTAAAACACCCTTCAGTGAGGACTATTTGCTGAAAAGTTTAAAACACTGGACTAGATTGGTGGGAGTCAATTCCACCTAAAGAGGCTTTCTTGAGGTGGGCAAAATAGTCATCCAAGGAAGTCTTCCTAGACCCGTTAAGGAAGTATACATTTCTAACTCATTTTCTATAACTAGATTCTATAAAAGGAGAGAATAATGTTGATTTCAACAACACCTAGACTATGTGAGCATTTTCCAATTCTTAATATTTTATTTGTCTTTCTTCAACAACTGCTATCAATTGTCAACTTAATTACTGGAATCAGCATATAAATTTGGCAGCATATGGAGACTCAGCAATATATTGTCACTGTACAGTGACAGTTATTGTACAGTGACAATCAACTGACCAGTTATTGCCACAAATCAAAATATGATAAAATAAGATATAGCCATCAAGGCAGTCACTGACTTTTGCTTTAAAGACAATCATAGAGTTGGCTTGACTCTGCCCATCCCTTCTTCCTTTCCATTAAAGTGTTAAACACAAAGGATTCTGTGCCAGCTGTGCAAAGAACATAATAAACTTGGTGAGCAATCTTGAGTGACAGAAATAAAAATGAAATCATTTTTGTTTTTTGGGATAAATTTCAGAGAGCTTGAGAGCGATTTCTAGCCACTTACTCAATAACAACTTATATCAGTTTTACAAAGATGGGGCACTTTTCACTTGAGACTCAGTTCAAAGAGTTCTAAGCAGTTGAACTTTTGCATTCCTTCAACTGCTATGGCCATGTCTTGCCTTTACTCCACTATCAAGGAGACTAGAAGCAAAAATTAAATATGAGGGATCTTGAAGTTGAAAGTTGCATATATGGGTGTGCATGTGTGGCATGCATTCAGGTGACAATGACTGGAGTCTATGCTGTACAAAATGGTTTATAAGGAAAATAAAAATAAATGTCATTTGCTAGTCTCCAAAAATTGTGACATTTGACATAGTTTGAATTTTATTAAAGTTGAATTACTCCAAAAGCAGTAAGACTTTTGCATATATCCACTACAATTATTCAGATGATACATCTTTTTCCCGGAAAAATAGCAGCAACATACTCATATTGTACTCTACTTGGAGAACACATTGTTCATACAGCAATCATAACATGAAATCATACTAAGTCAACTTGAAGTTGACAAAACTTCTCAGATGAAAAATATAAGCAAGTGTAATAAACCTTGTCTTAAGAACCAGCAACTCACCCAAAGTCGAGTTATAAACTCAACCCGAGGTAGTTTTCCATTACAAACCTCAAACTTTAGTCAACCTATGAGTCAAATGAATCACTTTTTTAAAAAGTAACTCAATTTCTTTCAAACTAAATATTAAAAGTTTTTTAAAATGAAAAGATTTAATATAACTTAGAAAAAGGTTGGCACTGAGATGAAGTCCATAAATATCATAAAAAAAGTGTAAAAGGTCAAATTCTTTCACTGCAAAATCTCCCAATGCCAACAGAGTGGCTCGTTATACAAATCAGATAAATCAGAAAGGCGGGCATATTGCTAGCATTAGAATATTAAAGTGGTCAAAGGCATAGGTATACTTAGTCATATGATGTGGTAAAGCCAATTGAGGAGGAGCTACAATTAAGGATATCATGTGTGGCAACTGGTATATTAAAAACATACAGAGTCCTTTTGTGTCAGGACAAGGAGATGACCTCTGGACTGAGGAATCCATTCCCTGCCCAGGACCCAAAGTCATTGAACACTTTCTTTCCTACATTGCCACTAGGAAAGGTTGAGAAAAATTTGGTGGTAACTTGAAAACTACAACATGAATTTCCTCAAAAAGCTTCAAAAAATAAAGTCCTGATCCTTATGTCCTTTGGTGCTCTATTAAGAAAGAGTTTCAGGGAAATAAAGTAAGATCTTCTACAAAAGAAAGAAGCTCTGGTGAGAAGCTAAACTTCCCTGCCAGGAAGTCTGCAGGACACCAGGGTTCTCTAAGGTAGGAGGCAGCGAGGAACCAGGAAACCAGCAGGCTATCTGCTCCCCCAAAAGGGATGCCCAGGTCTTGGAAGGTTTTCTTGAAAACAGAACATCTGAGTCAACAGCTTTTCAGGATTGGAAATTCTGAGTGTTGCTTTTATTGTTTATCCTGCTGCGGCAAACTTTAAAACAGAAATGCTGGGAGCCCCTACACATACTTTACTGGCCATATGCTCTACCAAACAAAACAATGGCATTCCTTTCAAATAGATTTGCTGAGGGATAAGATTCCATAGCCTGGCATTACCATGAAAGTAACATGGTATTGACATATCTGTGTGTCTGGGTGTGCATGGGCTTGTAGGCATGCAAAAGGATCTATGTCACAAAACTAAAAGTAACCTGGCTACAGATCTCCTCCTCCAGCCTCCACTTTTGACAGGTATTTTCTATTCAGCAACAGGTTAGTGTGGTCCTGAGCCAATGATTACAATCTATTTATTAAAGTTCTTCCTCTTAAGGATTGAGTGAGAGTTCAGTGTAGTATCTGAGAGCACTTTGTCAAGGTTGCATTCCTTGGCAGAGAGTACTTAGTAACTTTACAGAGAACAAACCTCTTTTTTTTTTCTCCTCTCAGCGCAGAGAGCAAAAGTCAGTGCTTCAAAAGTAACTGCTGGGTCATTGTCAACTGTCCTCCCATATCGTTCATTACTGCTTAGCATGAGATGCTTGTGCTCTTATAGACAGAGTATCTAAAGTAAAAATGACTGTCACTAATAAATTTGCCTTGCTTCTCTGAGGTGGACCCTGATTTTGCTTTTAAAGAGAAGGTTTGTTTTAAGACAATGACTTCATCTGTGCCATACTACCCCAATCCTGCACTCTTCACCCCACCCCTGCCTCCAATAAAAACTTTTGATAGAGTCCGGAAGCCTCCGGGGTTCCCCCAGCACCAGAACATGCTCCAGCTTTCATCAGGCTGCTCAGACCTGGTTTCATAGGGAGGGCAAGAGAGTCTTTCACTGATCAGCTTCCAGCTCTGGATTGGCCCTAGAGCTTTCTCTGGGCCACCAAATGAGTTTAGCAAGTGTAAGCTAGCCATCTCCAGCCAGAGCTCAAGAATTCCATTTCTGTGGAGTCCTCTCCACCCCCTCGCCGCGCCCCCCCCAACTCCCCTCTGCCTGCCAGCTACCATCACCTAATAACTAATGACCCTCCCAGGCAGTTTACAGCTGGAGAAAAAAGAAGTTACTCCTAGGACTGTCAGAGAAATACATTGCCCTCACCTCCAGTGCCAGTACCCACCTGATTCTGCGAATGTGATGATCTCTGAGGTCTGCTCCATCAGTTCATTCATTTCTGCCCTCCTTCCGATGTCATCCTCTATCTCCACATACCCGTTCTCCCCCACTTTGCCCACATGGAGCTTTCTGATCGCGTTCAGAAGTGCCGCCTTGGGCACCGGCTGGGTGACCTCGGGTCTCTTCTTCAAGTGCAACATGTTTAAAATGTGCTTCTTGACGGCCTCCACCATCTCCGGCTGAGCGTTGGGTACATCCTTGGGAAGGGTAGTCAGTGCACAGGACGGGCAGGCAGGGTCCACACTGTGCCCCTGGGACCCCAGGGTGGGGGAACTGCTCACTATAATCCAGCCACTCACCAACAAAAATCCTCGCAGCCAAAGCAAGGGCATCCTGGCAGCAAAAGTTGTTGTGGTTGCCTTTTTAAAGGCCCTGCTTTTCCTCCCCCCTCACGCACAGGTTTTTTGTTTGGTTTGATTTGGTTTGGATTTTTCCTTCTCCTCTTCAGCAAATTCTCTGGAACAAGAACAAAAAGTTTTCTGTGAAGTTTTCTTTGCAGGTTCCCTCTCTGAATGCAGTCAGTGCTGTAGGTTTGTGGCTGTCAGGGAGGAGAGTTCTGACTGTCTCCGAGTAGAGAAGAAGGGAGGGAGGGAAGGAGAGAGGGAGGGAGGGAGACAGGGAGGGAGGGAGAGACAGGGAGGGAGACAGAGACTGAGAGAGAATGGGAGGGAGAGACAGGGAGAGCGGAGAGAGAGGGACAGAAGAGGAAGGGAGGGGGAGGAAGAGGGAGGGAGGAAGGGAGGAAGAGAGAGAAGGAGAAAGAGGAAGAGAGAGGGAGGGGGAGAGAGAGAGAGAGGGTGAGGGAAGGAGAGAGAGGGAGAGAGAGGGAGGGAGAGAGAGAGAGAGAGAGAGAGAGAGAGGGAGAGAGAGAGAACGATTGGCCCTAAGTGAGTGAGTGAATGGGAGAGGGAGGGAGTTTGTGAGTAAAGGCTGTGATTAGGAAGGGGAGGGACAGCCCGTTTTCTGACAGGCTGCTTTCCTTCTGCTCACTGCTCCCTCACACACACCTCTCTTCAAATAGCACCATTCTCGGGAGTTCTACTTTCCTTTCTGAAAGAAATTCTCCCAGTTTTGTTCTTCTTTTTTTCTTTGCCCTGTCCCCTTGCTTCACCTTCTTCCTCTTTTGGAGGGGAAAAAATACCCTAAGTAAACGCACTGTCTCAATCTGCAAGGATGACTTAATTGAACAGCCAGTCTCCACTGCCCCTCCACCCTCCTAGTCACAGCCCTAGATAATTCAAAGCTCCAGAGCCTGAAGGTGGGGCTCAGGGTGCCGGAGGTGAAGGACCAGGTTGGGAAGATCAGGAAGATGGGCAGGAGGACCTTAGGGCCTCAGGGGCCAGTCAATTTTTCTGGCCAAAGGGAATCCAGGAGATCTACTGTTTCCCAATTCATTCATATTTAAATGTTCAGGATCTTCAACACTGGCAGGTGATCTGAGGGGAGGGCAATAGTACTTTTGTTTGAGGTCATATAATACACTACACTCTTCACAACTGCAAAATGCCAGTGGGCACTAAAAGATCTGTAGGGAGGGAAGCAGGCAGGCAGGCAGCCTTTTACATGTTCCTGTCATATGAAATGCTTTCCCCTCTCTTTAGAAGCCACCCCCTCCTACCCTGAACACACACACACATACTCTCAGACTCACAAATTACCACTTATCCTGACTTCACAGATAAAATGCAAAATTCACTTGGCCTTTCCCACATTATTTTACACAAATAGTGCACTCCTACAACTTGAATTACTGGTCCTATGGGACAAGAATCTCTAAACTACATTAGCAAATTATTTTCTTTGTCATGTGGTATTTTTTTCAGCCTACCCCTAGCCCATTCTGGACCATTGTGTTCATGTACTAGCCCCTCGATGTCTTATTTTTCACTAGAAGGAACACCACAGATGAAATTATCGTGGATTTCAGTGTTCACAGTAAAAGAAAAAATGTGAATTTTTAAACAATGCCTTTCTGAGGTTTTTGTTCTTTATTCTCCTCCTTTTACCCCCACCCTCTTTTTCATTTTCTGTCTTAATGCTTTTATCTTGCAGAAGTATCTTTAAGAGGTCCATCTGTTAAAGCTTTCCTTCCCTCTGGGTTTCTTTCCCACACATAAGCCCTCTCAGTTTCTGTAGTACAGTCAGCTTATATCTGACACTTAGTATATTCAGAGCATTACAAGTCAAGCAAGACAACTTGGGAAGGGGCGGGGAGAAAGTTAATAAATGTCATTACTACAGGCATAAAATCTGAGGGAAAGGGAAGACTGAGAGAAAGTTGTGACACTAAGTTAAAATTACAGTTTGCACAAGTAACAATGGTTTTCTGAATTGGATACACTGTCCTCCTTTCCCAAATCAACTACTCCCAAGACTTTCTGTGTTATAAGCCATTTGTTACCTGTGGGGTTTCAACTCCAGGAAAATCAATTACTCTGGTATTACTGTTAAAACTTTGACAACATTCCCTAAAAAGTCTATTTTCAGTGGGAGATGGTGACAGAAAAAGGAAGGGGGCATTTGCATTTTAATTGTTTAATAAAATACCTTTGAAATCTAATGCTTAATATAATCTAGCTATTTGGCATCGCAGATACCATATCCAAAGCATTTTGTAATGCAATTAAGTTTTATAAGTAAAAGTTTAATGACTCCAAACAACTCGAGCCCTGATATTAGTATTTAGATAAGTGCAATTTATCAGCATATGGATTCTTTCTGTATGTGTGTGTTCCCTAAATTTGCTGTTTATGAATGCAACTTAACAAATAGCTTTCTCTTGGCATGTGTACTCATATATATGCACTGAATGAGTTGTATAAACACATAATCTATTTACATTTTGTACTATAAAAAGCTGTATCAACCCGCCTGAATAATAAAAACAAGGTACAAATCATAATGTGTATGGAAGTGCCAATCAGTTGTAAAATTCCTTCTAACCATTCTGACTATGAATGTGTAAATAGCTAACAAGTAAGAGTTAAAAGCATTACCTTTCCGGTGCTCTCTCTTTCACCAGCAGCTTCTTGTATCTTGTGGTTAGAGCTGTCTGAGTTCCTCTTCATGGTATTGGCACTGTGAAGTTTTATACTGCACTACTTACTTGTATACTCACACATTGGTACCATTCAAACAGCAGAGCTGGAGCTTTGTTTAGGATTGGTTAGAATCAGCATGACATCAGCAGATGACTAGTTTTTTCAGTGTGAGACATATTTCATAATAATTATCTAATGGAAAGTCTTTCTTAGCTTCTGTGACACTACTGGGTGATCATGCAGCCAGTAAATCTCTGGCTGACTAGACTACCTTTTAGAAAACTACTGGAATCTCATTGTGTGCCAACTTCCAACTTTTCTTTTACCATTTGCACACACACATTTCTCATTATATTCAGGTTCAGTTTTATGTCTTCACATAAAATATCTGTTACTTTATGAAGTTGCCTCTATTTACAAAGTATTTTATTGTTTCTTACAGGCAAGAAAATTCACAGTGCTCTTTATAGTATTCTAATTTTACTTTTCTAAATAAAATATTCCATTGAGAAAAAAATATATACATACCTATATGATGGTCTCCCCTCCCCAGACTTACAATATTATTTTACATCTTGAAATTAAATGCCTGATTCATAAATCATTTATCATCAGGAACTTTGGAAATAGTCATTCTCTGCAAATAAATGTTATAAAATTATCCTTCCTGGATTTTTAGGATCCCCCCAGTCAAAAAGAAATCTCATATATCATTCTTATATATTAGACCTTGAAGTCCTACAATTTCTAAATTGCTACAAATATAACATAAAATTAATGAAAAGAAGTGACCATTCTTTCAAATAGGGGTTAAGTCAGTCAGGATTTTTTTTTTTTTTTTGGTGGGGAGGAGGGAGTGTTAGCGAGTTGGAATTCTCAGACAAGGATGGTGGAGAAGTATAGTTTGGAATATAGAAGCATAAGCTGGGTCCTCATGACAAGTTGAATAAAATGTGCAAAATTGGGAGCTAATGAAAGCCATATGACCAGATATGTTGTTTTGTATGCGGGATTTAACATGCATTAAATAAACTTCTCACTATGCCCACAAGCAAAATACAGAGGTTCTGGCTTCCTGATGTGTAGTTTAAGCTGCTTCCTTTAGGACACCAGAAGTTTTGTGTTTAAGAGGGTCTGCTTTGACCAAATAGAGAAAGTGTGGATGTTCAACTGTATGTGGGGGATGGGGAGTATTCTAAGAATTGCATATGCAGAAATAGAGTAGGAAATTAAATCATTAGGTTGTGGAGAAACAGGGAATATAAGAAGGAAGGGTATAAACAGGATTATTGTTGGTTAACTCCAAATCTGACCATCAGTTTAGAATTAAAGGGACTCAACCCCCTTATAAGGAACTTCCCCACACTGTATGATGAGCCCCTCAAGGAAAGCAATGGCCTGCGAGGCATCTAAACTCACTTCCTCCCCCATGCATAAACCTTGGTGTCTTAGATATATCGTCACATTGTATGAGTTTTGGGGGCACACAATGAACCTGGATGAGACCCCAGTCCCACAGCATACTAACCACGTAATTTAAGTCCCAGAAGTGGGATCCATTTTTGAGACGCCTCTCTAAACATTTGTATCACAAGAATCTACAGCGCCCTGACTAGAGAAGTCACCCTACATGTGTGACTCAGATCCGTTATACCATCAAATGCCCACCTGCCAGGTCAGCCCACTAGATGTGATATAATTCTCTACCTGAATCCCCAACGTCAGGAGCTGAGGCACACTGGGAATGCCTCCTCACTCAGTGGAAATTAAGGTGGAGGTGGAGAGGAATCAGGCTGGTTAAAATAACTTCTGTTGAATATTCTGGACTGAGTGTTCTTTTTCCTTCTAAACACCAGGGTCCAGGGTAAGCTGGTCAGCCCAGTTCCTGCCAATCATCTCCTCTTCTTCCTCCCTTTGGTTTCTCTTTCACTTCCTACCCCCTCCCCCAGCAGCTCCGCACCTCAGCCCTGCGGCCGACTTCTCGGCTGCTACCGTACCTTGAGCAACACCTGCTGGCAGCTCCCTGGGATCACGCCGGAACGCGACCGCCAAGCCGTGAGGAGCAAGCGCCTCTATTTTTACCCGGAGCACTAGCAAGGGCAAGTTCTTTTCAGAGCAGCTCTTGATTTTTGCCCGCTTTTGGCAGCTAAAGAATTCAGAGTGGAAAAAAAAATCACTGTTCAGTGAGTGCAGCTGGGAATTTCTGAACCAGCCCCCAATGCCAGGGCCGAAAACACTGCCAGTGTTAGGGACCAGGATGGGGACCTGAGAGCTAGCTGCTGGGCAGACAGAGAGGCGAGCCAGGAGCCTTGACGTCCCATGTGGAGTTGGGCCCTAGCAGCCATTGCGCTAGACTGTGAACTGCTGCCACTGCGTTTCCCACCTAGTGCAGTAAGCCTGATTGGCCACTTCACAAAGTGCCCAACTCCTCGCTGCAGCATTTGCAGGACTCTTTCTCCCCTAGAGGAGCTGCCCTTGGCGAACCCGGCTGAGCAGC